CAGGGGTATTTCATGCTTCTCGCATAAAGCATATATTTGCTAAGCGCCTATACAACTCTGTAGGCTCCAGTCGGTGGAAGTCGGCTAATGGAGCAAAAGCCAGAGTGAGCGAGACACGAGCCGGGAACGGGCGATACAGAGAGAGATAGAAGGAGAGAAACCGGGTCATACCGGGCCAGGAACGAATCACATCGGGGTATCGCCTACCCTTCGGGAACTGGGTCGCTTTTCAACCTGGTTTTCTCCCGACCAGTGCGAACCAGCAGCAGCCTCTCCTCCAATGGTTCATCATTTGCCGCCGCCGCCGCCGCCGCCGCCGCCACCGCCGCCACCACAGCGACCACCACCACTACCGGCAGCTCGTCTCGTATCCTTTAGCTGTCCGTGATTTCTCAGCTGCCCGATTTCTTACAACTATGGAGCTCTCGTTAAGTTATTTCTACTTTCGCATAATACCAGAAAGGACAATCTCCGATGAGAATTTTCTTAACGTCTTTTTTCAAAAGCCATATTTTATTAAAGATAACTTTAAGTATCTTCGATCTCCCATACAAATGCAGCATAACTTTTCAACAATGAAAATGGATATAAAGTTTTTCTTGTATATATATGTTAAATAAAATTGTTGATGGTATGCATAATTCATTTTAGATTAAAAATTACCTATTTCATCTCCTTAGTTTTACGCAATTAATAGAAAAACATATAATATACATGTACTTAGGTTATGAACGTATGTTTTCAATACGTAATATTGTATAGTACTTTATTATTCTTTTTATAAAGTAAATGGGTGTTTCAATTTTTGTTGCGGTGACTAATTCAATGTATTTTCATTCAAAGGATTTACTATACAATATGAAATATGTACGGATAATTTGTTTTAGCGAAAAATTAATAAAACTTAATAAGAACAAGAATGAACAGAAATGACCTCTAACGATAGTAAAAAATAGGGGTTTTTTTTTTGTTAAAAGTAATATTACACATAAAATTACATATTTATTGAAAATCTTTGGGCATAAATATAATTACAGTTTTTAACATAATTATTATCCAATGTACAATTGAAAATTAATTTAGTTTAAATATAATAGAACATATATACATAAAGTAGAATAAGAAACTAAAGTATCTATTCCAGAAACTCTTTTATTTACCTTGACAGATACTTACATAAAGTGTCTAATTTAATTCTCCAAATAATTAATATCATATAACTAATAATTTAACGCGTAACTACTTGCTGATACTTTAGTACAATTGAATCAAACTTGGAGTGCATGTGTGTGTGTGTGTGTGTGTGTGTGTGTGTGTGTGTGTGTGCGCGCGCGCGCGCGCGTGTGTATTCATTCGACTGTCAACTCTTCGAAATAATCCTTTCATTGTAATTCAATTGAATTGAAAATCTTTTAAAATTGAAAATGTTGAAAAATGTTTTGGTATCATTAATAAAATTGAAGTTTTTATTTGATTTAATATTTTAAAGGAATAAAATTTAAATTTTAGATACATTAATGTACAAGTAAATGTAATAGATCAAAGTCATTTATCATTGCAGTGATAAATTAGCTTATGAAATTCAAAATGTTTAAACACTAAATGTATATTAACTGAAAACTTACAATAATTCAAATTTTATTTCCAACCAGTATTTGTATATTTATATTTTTAACATATTAAAACTTGAGTAAATACACCTTTTATTATACTTTTTCAATTGTCCATTTTTAAATTAATTAATATAGTTGGCAAATAAAATTCTTTTTAAAAATTAACTTATTAACATATTTAAAAAATAAAGAAGTTAAAATAATTACAGATCATAATTTTTGTTTTTATAAACAGTTTCATAGCATTTCAAAAATAACCATATGCAATTTCAAACATCGTTTCATCTTTCTTTTAGTAGAAATAAACTGAAAAACATTCCCTTTTTATTTCGATAAAATTTAATCAATAACTAAATATTCATATAAATATTTTACAGGTATACTATTAAAACTAATTGAAGTAATAAAATTTTTATTAAGTTCAACAATAATATTTCAAATAATTAGAATCAATAAATTTTAAATGAAATTTTCATAACCATTGCTTATTTATCAACAATATATTAGTGTTAAATATTTTTTGACGGACTGATTTCTTGTCAAGAAAATATTACATATTTTGATTATTGACTTTGATTACTGTTAATGGATGGAATTAAAATGAAATATCTAAGTACTTCGCGAATGCATAATTTTTTTTATTTTCGCCCTATTATTCAACCATAGTAATATTTGACTTTATGCATTAATCAATAAGTATTATTAAATTTATTTATATTTGTTATTTTACGTTTAGAGATAAATTATTTATTGGGATGTTATATATTTTACATATTCTTTAGAATTTTACATAATCTCTATACGCGTCTGACGAAAAACCGTAAATTTGTAGGCAATATACCATTAGTTTTCAAATACATTTCATAATTATTCACTAAATTATTTATTGTTTTAAATTGTTATTTTACAATTAATCGAATACGGTAGAAACTAAATTTAAATTTGTTACATAATTTCTCAACGACAATTATAGAAAATATTAAAATTATTATTATTATGTTGTTTGTATTTATAATCTGTATATTTATCACATTTATGACTCTTCAATTCTCTTTTTAAAAGAAAAAATTTTATTTCAATAATAATTTATAATAAGAGACAGAATTTCTATATAATTGTAAATACTATATATACCAACCATCACTTATGCCAAAATTTTTTCAATAATTTAATTTTTGAAATAATTAATCCAGCCGAATAATTTAATAAAATTTTTGTTAAAAACTTACAATCATTATTCATTCTATGATTTTAATGTAAAAACTTATATTTATTCCCTTATAACCATACGGATTTATTATATGGCATATAATATTAGTTTTTATTTCAATAATATAAATTTTATAATATATCAGTTGAAATTATTAATTATGTAATATGTTATTTCATATTATCAAGCGAAGCTTCCACTACATCGGTTATAGCTTGAAATTTTAATAAATTCGCTCCAAATTCATGAAAAGCATATATTCAATATTACGTTCTAAATATAACTTTATTACAATGATAATACATAAGATTGATTTAGTAATATTATAAAAATAATTTTATTCATCTGTCTGTTTCTATTGTTTTCAACGCATATAATTTAATAAAATTTATGTTTTTTATTTATCTTGGTACGTACCTTGGTATTTAACTTGGAACGCATTGTTTGTGCATTTGCAAAAAAAAAATAATATTATTAGGACAAAATAAATATGTTTGTGAGATAATAAAATTTGTTTATTTTATATCTGTCTGTATAATAATAGTAAAGTGCTATAATAGAAATTTTCTTTAATGTACACTAAAATTAGATATATATTAATAGTAAATTTTTATTGTTAGGAACTGAGTTTAACCGATCTACGTTTATTGGATATTTGTTACATCAAATTATTTTTGTTTATTTTATTTCCATACAGAAGTACGATATTTCATGTTTAATCACCGTTAATTTATCTTTCTGTGAAAAAAAAATACTCGAACGTCAATAATGGATAATATAAATTTTATCTGATAAATTTATAAATATTAAATATATATATATATATATATATATATATATATATATATATATCAAATAATATAAAACAATATTCTAATATATTATATCAAAGATAATATTTAAATCCCAATCGTTATAATTACATGCATTCAAATACTAATTTAATATTATTTTATATTTTCGATCAGTATAATTTAGACGTAAATAAGTTAAAAAAAATTGATAAAATAAACTATTATTTTTAAATCTTAACCCAGTAGTTACTAATCAAAAACCTACTACTACTAGTGAAGCCAAATTACTATATTATTTTATAATAGTTAATAATTTATAGAGAATAAATAATAATTCATAAATAATTGTGTAATGTGAATAGATAAAATAAAATTTTATAATTTCATATTTTCGATTAAATTGCAAATTAAATGAATATTAATTAACTTATTAAGTTTTTGGTTATGAATATTCTTCGTTATAGAAATTTTATTGGAAAAAGAAAATTTAGTTTTCTTAGAAATTAAGGGCATAATTAATTTAAGGGCGAATAAGCAATAATATTTTGTCCAATGTTTAACAGTTTTCTCAATTAAATAATAGATTATACGATCTTCTCTCATATTCTATACTTTCTTTCGAATCCCGAACGAAGTAACGTTCTATTTACACATACGAAAATGCTATTACATTACTCGAGAAAGGATTAACTATATCCTTTCTTGATTCATAATACGTTGGGGACAATTTTTTCATACACTAAGTGACTATTGATCGTTCAATTATTTTCAATAAATACTCGACTAAATGTGGTAATGATCTTATAGATACCTCGTTTTCTCCTTTTCTATCGACATGTATTCTAGTTCAGTTTTTGCAGAGCAAGTTTAACGAAGCTCAATTTAGCAACGATCCTGAACCAACATCGCACATCTAGAGAGTTCCGCATTTTAACGATATTGGGTGAAACGAACCATATCGAATTCACAAATTGCGCAGAGAATTAGATAATGACAGAAATAAAGCGCAGTTTAGAGCAGTAGGAATGCTATTAATTAATGTATACGGCGCTAGTAATTGTTTTTACACACTAACACGGATAGTAAAGCGTACATGGTTGGTAATACTTATAAAATATCGTACTAGTAGTAGGCAAGTCGTATGTAATTCAATGCTTTCTCCACTTTTATTTATGTGTCGTTGAAAATTTCAGTTAGACTTTACGTTATAATGTGTTTTATTTAATATTCTATATTGTCGATACAGACAATAAAGTATGTAGTAATAAATTGTATTACTAACGAATAGGTACTGTTAGACTAATTAAAATATCATATAAAATTAATGGTTAATTTAATATACGAAATATTCAATTAAATTAGATTATAAAAGTAGAATGTAAGATGTCCAAATACGACATGAAATTGCAAATTGTATGTATTGTTCCGTTAACTTAATATTTAAAACAGGTTTGCAATTTTTTTAAAATACATAATATATATTTATCTACCAATTAAACTGAGAAAAATATAGAGGTAATATTTTTCACAATCGCAATATTTATTAACGAAATAAAACTCTAATAAAAATCAAATTTAATAAATGAACTTTGACGTTAATAACTAACATAATAAATTATGAATTTATAAATATCGAAAGTAATGGATTTTTATTATACTTACGTTAATTCATATACTTTTATGTAATCTTCAAAATGAAATAATTTATAAAAATATTGTTTCTAATTACGAGGATATTAAGAAGAATCTTAATAACAAAATTATCTCAATACTCTAAAATGATGTCAGTACTCTAAAATAATCTCAATGCTCTAAAATTATCTCTCTTATTGTTTTCTTATTTTTTATTCTGCAAAATTCAGATCCCCTATTTTATGAAGGGTGAATCAGATTGTATGATGAGCAGATTGTACGAGCCTTTGGTTTTAGTAGATAGTAATATGGGCGCCACCGAGACTAAATGTCCCTTGTGTCATGCTTGTCAGATTCAAGCCAAAAAGAAAACTTGTCGAAGCTTTAGGGGAATCCTAGTGATGTTACCTAAGCTAGTTGGAGCTCTTCTTACTATCCATCCCAATATTTTTCTTAATAACTAAAGCCTACTGCGATTGTACAACGTGAGCATTAAGGAAAAATTATTTGCTTAGAGCAATTCTCAAGAAGATAACACACACGTTTGAGCGATAAACAGCAATTATATAATGGGATTACTTAAATTACAATATTTGAGTATTTATAGGCGTCTTATATTTAAGTATAAATTATTCTTATAATGTATTCAATAAAATATAATATATATATAATTATAATATCTATACATTAATATAAAAAACACTTCGGATATTCTATGTGACAAATCTATCATTATACATACTTATTACATACTTCCAAATTTAAAAACTAAATTAAAGTTTTTATATTGGAAATATATTCTAGGATATGAGGTAGAATATTTAAAAAAATATTTAAAGAATTATAGAAATTTTAATTAAACACAAGCTTCGATTAAGAAACAAGTAAAATTAAAAAAGTGAATTAATTTATTATGAATTTTACACCATTATTATATCTTATTTCTGTAGTATCAATTCCTCTATTTATATTTATGAAATCAGTGAAAAATAACAACTTAAAGTGTAAATAATTTCACACGTTTTCTAAATGATTAAATATTTGAAATTTATAAAAATATGCATTTATTCCTATGTTTAATTTTATACTCTAACTTATTAACACGTTTACAAGATTTAAATAAAAGATAAATTGTTTATAATTGAGAATAAATGATTAATATACAGAAAACTGATCTTATTTATTAAGAATATTTGAATACCCGAATTTCTATTTTATTTCATCATGCTCATGATTAAGAATCGTAATGTTTTATTTTTATAAATCTTAATTGTTGAAGAAAATGGTGAATAAGAATGCTTGCAAACTAAATTGTTTAATTGTTCGATAATATTTCTATTGGTATATTAATTTTTTCACAAAATTTTTATACTATTTTTCCTCTGATCTTTTACGATGTTAGATGTTTGATTTCAATTTGGCATTAAAGTAAATATTACATTTTAGAATTATCGTTAAAAATTTTATATTAGAAAATTGATTAGGAAAAATTCGAATTGAAATAAAACTGTTAAAAGCGAATGAATCTACGTTATAAATAATTACCACAGAAAATTTTTAATATGACAAACTGTCAAAAAGTTATCCAATCTCCGTTAACTTTTAATTACTAATTAGATAATTTCAACATTAAATACATAATCAGTCTTAACAATAGATAAAGTAAAATAAAACTTACAAGCAATAATAAATATGTCAAAATTTCATTAAAGCATTAACTTACAATTAATAGCATTATAATCGTAATATTGATAAATATTAAATAGTATTTGATGCAGTAAATATATAAAAAGAAAAACTTTTACAAATGTAGTAAATATCAAATCGGTGAGATAAAAATTATTATAAATATGTAGTTTTCTGATAAATTGAATACACGATAGATTAATGTTTTTTGAAACATAAACTGCAATGAATTGTGAATTCAGTTTTATATTTGAGCATTCTACAAGAAATATATATATATATATATATATATATATATATATATATATATAAATGCCATATTCTCTTATTCGAGACTTTTACCTTTTTGCCTTTAATACAAGCTCATTCATTTTTTTTTATCTGACGCGCATAAAAAGCACAGTGCAATTTCATGAATTTCACAAATATCTTGGCACTGAAGTACTGATTCTTTCTCGTATAGTTTCCAGCGATACTTCGATAAAAAGAAAACTCGAAGTTTTTAAAACTACTATCTGAACGGGAGGATAACAGCTGCATTTACAAGTACATAATTACATAATCTTATTCGACCATTTTAAAGAGGAAGATTAAAGCAACTTTATATGACGACTCCATTTAAATGTTGTAATTTGTAAGCTGGATAAAGATTTATATAGGTTAACGAGAATTGTAAAGAGATTTTGATTTTTTTTTTTTTTTTTTTTGATTTTCTTATCAGTTGTTATTTATAAGGTATTTTATTAAATTAACAATATTGATTTATTTGATGATTATAATGATGTTATCATTTTTTTTACAAAATTTTATAATTTATTATCTTATTAGTATTTTATTCTAAACTCTGAAGTTTTTTTAATTTTAGTTAATTTTATAATTTTCAGTTAATGTAGATACATATATATTCAAATTGTTTTAATTAAAATTAAATTAACATAAGGTTGTCTTAATAATAATTAGGGATTGTGGACTTCACACGAAAAATTATGATTAAATTTTCATATAATTCTATTAAATAAAATTTCTAAAATAGAATAGGAAATATTTATAGATTTGTGCTTTCGAGGATATCAATTTTTTTTTTTAATCTGAAATCTTTTAAATCTGAAGTTTCGCACATATAAATTTTATTTCCTATAGCTATATATGACTACTAATGATTATTACAATTATTATAATAAAATCAGCATTAAAATCATAATTTAGCAATAACGCATATTTAAAGTATGTTTTCTAGTTTATAATCGAAATTGATATAAATATTATTTACTTAGAACTCTGTATATTGATCCTCTACATACGATTTAAAGTAATAAAATTATCTTAAGCCTATGTAAGTGGACAATAAATGAAAGTACGTCCTTTAATGCAAAATTTACTTAAATTTATACTTAAATATAATATTACAATAATTAGATGTAAATTAAAATCTTTTTTTTCACTCAACATTAAAAATGTAAATTTTAAAAGTTTTCTAATTTCATATTTTTTAATCGTCTCTATAAGCAGGATATTGACGTTGGTAATTTTCAGAAATTATTAGGCAAACTGCCTTTGAAATGCTTATATACAAGGTATACATTTTCACATTCGCACAATGAGCAATAAGAATGGGTAATTTGAACTATTTCCAATGGCAATAGTCAGGTGGAGTTTATAAGCGATTCTCGCGAGTGGACAAAAAAAAGCGATTTTGGCCTATAAGACATAACATCTTCGCTAATCAGACAAATACTACGTCGTTGGATGTGTACGTTTATCCAACATTTCCCGTCGAAAATATTCTCCACTCCCGAAATAATTTCATTATGCTTTCTTGAAATCCGACTATTAACATTTATATAAAATACTTCATCATATTAGTTTTATTGCTCACTCACTGACAAAAATATTTGTCTAATATATATTTAAATATATCTATTTTTTTTTTATTTAGTATGTATAGAAAAGTTCAAAACTTTTTATAAAATTGCGAGGAAAAAAATCATCCGAAAATGATGAAAAAGTAGATAAATATCATTTACATGATAAATACGTATTCAGTGATACATATACGATAACAGTTAAGTCACTGCTATGAATAATATGAAATGATCAGTTGGTATTTAGAATATTGAATAACATAAAAAAAGTGTGATACCTTGCAATAGTTATTTGTATTAATTATAGTTATAGATTGTACCTAGGGAACTCCCGGTGTAATTTGTCCTAACCTAACAAATCGGGGTCACATCCTATTCAATTGAGTTTCCATTTCCGTTTTGCAACGATGACAACGTCAGAAAAAGAAATTAAAAATGAAAGGTCGAAATATATATGTCACTTTTAATGCTTAGCTACATTTTCTAGAATTAAATTAATCGTTTATGGTTTTAACATGTAAATGGTGCGTTGGTTCAAATTTTAAGTATATATTATTTTTGTAAATGTTATTACAACGATGAACCGTACGTTACTACTATTTTCTGCATTATTAGATGTTTCCAATCTAAAAAATTAAACTTAATTAAAAAGTTCAATATAAAAAAATATTATTTATAAAAGATAAAAAAATCCTTTCGGAACTTTACTCGTATTTACTGGTTTTTGTTAATAATTATAATAAGTAATTATAAATGCAGAAATATGAAGTGTATTCATTTAAATAAATTTTTTAAATAATATAATATAATTGTTTTTATATTTTTGCTAAAATTACAATTCACTTCTAACGATCTAGAGAATAATTGTAGTATAAATTAAATAATTATAAATTATAAATTATAAATAAAAATAATGTAGCATTAGTCAATTTGAAAAAAAAATTTGATTTCTTTATTTTAAGAGAGAGAAGAATATATATCTACGGTAGGTTCTTGAATTCTCAAGAACTAAAAGGTCACGTACATACATTTTTATAGACATTTGTACCTGCGCGTAGTTATTACACATATATAAAGAAATACTGAAACGACGATGTGCAGACGTATATTATATATCTCGATTTCCTCGATTACTCGATATATGTATGCATGTATATTATATATATATATATATATATATATATATATATATACGGTACGTAAAACTGCAGAGATAAAGTAGGTCAATCTCAGGTCACTAAGCTGTCAGCAAACAAAAACACTTGTTTCTTGTGAATTAATTATAAATTTTACCTCTTTTATGAAAACCCTTTGATTCAATGTATTATAGACACACCTGTCGTATAAACAATTTTTACGTATTATTGAGTACACTTTCAATCGTTACAGATTATTTCAATAAAATAATTTTATTCATTGGAATATTATGTAACTATAACACAGAGTTCAACCATATATAGGTTACTAGATAAAATATTTTACAGCGATTAAACATAGAAAATTTTTAATCCACATCTATAAAATTTTAATTTTTTCTCGAAGCTTAACAAACTAATTTTGTAATAATATTATTCACCCTGTTATAATCTATTGGTAATTAAATAAATTATTTTTAATTTATAATTATATATTCAAATTTTTTTTTTTGGAATTCTTACTTTTTATACCAATATTTTTCTAAAAGGATTGTTACTATTTAGGAACAATAAAGATGTTAGGAAAGAAAACAAAAACAAAAAATAATCGAATAATATGCGAATAACACTTTGTTTTTTTTTCATTCATTGTGAATAATCAAACCCAATATATATATATATATATATATATATATATATATATATTTGAAGATGATCTCTACTATTCCTATA